AGAGAAATTATGACCGTTAGTGGCCACAGGTGCGAAAGCTCTCTCCAGAGCTACTGGAAGCCCAATCTCGGGGACCGGAGAAAGTGGAGCAATATTCTCGCCACGCCAAGCAACAGCTTCGAACAACCTCAACCTATACAAGTGACCACGTAAGCCATGCTACTGATGCTGGACAGTTTTTCAGTGGATGCACAATAAACAGCAACATACACATTCATGTAAATAAACAGCCAAATAATGGATCAACGCTCTCTGTCTAATATGTTCGCTTGCTGTTAGTGTTGTTGCGTAGCAACCACCTTGCACTATGTTTTGTGAGGAAGGCAACGGAGGGACTATTTTATTTTGAACGTCATTATTTACTAATAAAAACTATTTAAATTAGAGTGTGTATTTTTCTTTCATATTGCCAAACTTGGTAACCGTTTTATAAAAGCAATAGCTCACTTCAGGCCGTGATATATGCTCATTATATCACAGCTAAGGGGGTTGTCGACCCTCCGCTTCGCGTCGGGCCGAACCACGCCCCTTAGCTGTGATATAATGAGCATATACCACGGCCTGTCGTGAGCTATTGCTTAATTATCTTTCATCTCATAGATAGATGAAACCAGAGCTCAGTCTGCTCTGATTGGTTAACTGGCCGTCAACTTAAAGATGTCCCGCCCCTTAGCCTATCACTTACAATGTGTTGGAGCACTAACCAATAGAAGCACAAGTGTTACATAGTGATGTCATTATTATCAGTAAGAAACAAAGGAGTACAATGACGGCGTTTCAGGCAGCGGGGGTGTGTGTGAGAGAGAAACTCCCTCTGGAGGGAACACATGGATTTTAGCCTTTGCAGACCATTTACATGCACAAAAGCCTATAAAATACTACAGTAAAAAGAAAACCCCCAAAATGCATAACAGGGCGTCTTTTTAAAGTAAAACAATTACGTATGTGTTACTGTTCCCTGCTTGTCAAACAGGCATTCTCCAGTATCCAACAATAGTGTTTTTTGTTACTAGTAATAACAACACTTGTGTGTGTTCTGATTGCAGCTGACTTTGGCTTTGCACGGTACCTCCAGAACAACATGATGGCAGCCACGCTGTGTGGATCACCCATGTACATGGTCAGTGTGTTTTATTTTATATGTTTTGTGTTGTCTGCTGCTTAGGTCAGTCCCCTTTTAAAAATAGCCCTGTCGGCGTTCTCTGCATGTTGCATAACTCCCCATGTGCTTTAATGTCACCTTTGCTCCCTCAGGCCCCAGAGGTCATCATGTCCCAGAACTACGATGCCAAGGCTGACCTGTGGAGCATAGGGACTGTCATCTACCAATGTCTGGTCGGCAAGCCACCATTCCAGGTTAATACTGTTCACAACAAATATGTTATTGTGTATGTTTTTCTGTGAATCTCTAATATATATATCATATTTTCAGGCTAATAGTCCCCAAGACCTGAGGATGTTTTACGAGAAGAACAAGAATCCACAACCTATGTAAGCTTCATAACTTATTGTCTTTTGTTTAAGTGAGGGATTTGGGCTATTCCAGATTTAAAGTAACATTTTAAAGACTGGTGCAGATGGATGACATTTCTCTGCTAGCGTCTGCAGTCCGTAGCTACAGTTGTCGTATGGCTCTTTGAACCAGGTTAAAATACTGGATCTCAAAAACAAAACTATGTTTGGGATGAATTGTTATTCTTTTAGGGACTCTGACATTTCACCAGGGCATACTTTTTTGTCCAATGCTTTGTTTATGACCAAATACCTATAATCTTTATGACATTCCCATTAGCTGTACCTGTGTGTATTGCTTAATAGCAACTGTTAGCATGCTAAGATGGAGAGTATGGCATATACTACCATAAGCATGTTAGCATTGTCATTATTAGCATGTTAGCCTGAGGTTAACATTTAGCATAGCTTCCCTGTGTCTCAGTAAAGACTCACAAAGCCATTAGCAATTGTTAGCATGCTAAGATGGAGAGTATGGCAAATTCTAGCATTAGCATGTTAGCATTGTCATTATTAGCATTTTAGCCTGTGATTAACATTAAAGAGCCTGTGACACGAACCCAACAACTGTTGTGCAATGAAATAGTGGGCTACTAGTAATCTCGAACCGTCAGTTTAAAAAAGAAAAAGCGATACCGTTCCGATAAATATCAATAATTTCGAACATCGCGGGAAAATTCCTTCGACTCATTTTGAGGTTTTGGGGGAAGCCGGAAGTGACGTCAATGCGGGAACGCTTCACTGTGCGGCGAGAGAGCCAAACACGGACAAAGTGTGTTGTCATGCGTAGAAATAGTGAATTACTGAGTTTAGGCACGTTAATAACGTTTTAATGAAGTTGACTACAGTATATTCATATTTGTCAGTGCTTTCATGTCAATTCGGCGAACATAAACATAAATGATCGTGGTGAAGATGATGATTATCCAGCATAATTTTTTCCGAGCTGTGTATATAACAAAACTTGTAAAATAATTGCACTAAACGGGATTGTTTGTTACCGCACCGTTGTGACGAAAAGGAGACTGAGCCAGAAGGCAAAGCTCTCTGTCTACCGCGCCATTTTCG